GTGAGCCACTGTGCCCAGCTAGTTTTTCTTTTATTCTCTCTCTACTTCCTTCATTTCTCAAAGGCATCTCAAACTCAGTGGGCCCAAAACCAAAGTCAAACTCCATCAGAATATCCTGCTACTTACAACTTTAAAATATATCTTAAATCAGAAGTTCTTACTACATGCAACCCTTTGGTTCAAGCAACCATCATCCCTCACTTGAACTTAGAATTGGTTTTCCTGCTTCTGTATTTTTTAAAATTATAGAATATTTCAAATAAACCATGTGTGGTTTTATTCTTTTTACTACATAAAAAGAATGAAGATGTGCCAGGTGTGGTGGCTCACGCCCGTAATCCCAGCACCTTGGGAAGCTGAGGTGGGCGAATCACTTGAGGTCAGGAGTTTGAGACCAGCCTTACCAACATGGTGAAATCCCGTCTCTACTAAAAATACAAAATACAAAAATTTATCCGGGCATGGTGGCGTGCACTTAGTCCTAGCTATGTGGGAGCCTGAGGCAGGAGAATCGCTTGAATTTGGGAAGGCGGAGGTTGTAGTGAGCTGAGATTGCACCACTGCACTCCAGCCTGGGCAACAAGAGGGAAACTGTCTAAAAAAAAAAAACTATATATATATACACACACACACACACACACATATATATATATGAAGCGCTTATATACTTAAACATGGAATTGCTTTAAGTGTTTGGCATTCGCTGTTTCCGTGCATGCCAGCAGCTTCTTACTGCAAACACCTGGGACTTACTATAGAGCAGCTGGAGTACGTTCCACCCACCCACAGGACAGGGAGCTGACAACCAAGGAAGAGAGGGGAATCAACACTCCAGTTTTCTCCCCCTCCATTTCCCCGTATCTCAGCAGTATGGAGCTTGTTACCAGTGAGAACCTGCTCGCTGACTTTAAACTGGTGTTCTTACCTTCTCAGTTCAGTTTTTTCCATACCTCAACCGATGGTTTCTGGTATGACCTAGCAAATAAACTGTTTTCACTGAAATTTCAGTCTTGGAATTTACTTTGGGTTCCCCAATCTAAGACAGAAACATACTCATTTTCCCATCACTGGACTTCCAGGTTGTTTTCAATTTTTCACTGTTACAAACAAGGCTGCAACATTTATTTACAAACCTCTGGATATACACATAGGAAGCTTTTGGTATTTCCACTAGTGAAACTGCTTAGCTGAAGAGTATGTGGATCTTCATCTTTAATAAATATTACCAACATTTGAAAAGCCCGACAATGTCAAGGACTGGCAAGAGTGTCACATGTGATGGGTGTGGAAAGGCAGCTCACTGTAGCAGGTGCTGGGGACTCAGTCGGGGTCTTGGAGAAGCACTTATTTATAGCAAGAATGTTTCATAAATGGTATCTGATAGAGTCAAGAGTAGTGGGGAATAAAAACAAGTGGCTTAGAAATAATTATAGATCTAAAGTCAACAAAATGCTTTTTTTCTAATGTAAAAATACATACTTTTTTTAGAGGGAGGGGGAACAACTTAAACCAGAAAACACCTTCATATTAATCATTCTTCTCATATACTTCAAATTTGTACTTAATGCCTTTCTCCTCTTGGACATCAGAGAGAACATCTGGGTATTCTGGTAGAAGTTTATATTTCTCCAAATCAATTTCTGGAAGAAAGGTGTCACTTTCAAAGTCTTGCATGATCCTTGTCACAAATAGTTTAAGATGGCCTGGGTGATTCATGGCTTCCTTATAAACAGAACTGCCACCAACTATCCAAATCATGTCTACTTTATTTGCTAATTCTGGTTGTTCAGTAAGTTTTAAGGCCTCATCCAGACTTCTGGCAAGAAAATGAGCTCCTTGTGGAGGTTCCTTGAGTTCTCTGCTGAGAACTAAATTAATTCTACCCTTTAAAGGTCGATTCTTCTCAGGAATGGAGAACCAAGTCTTCTTACCCATAATCACCAGATTCTGTTTACCTTCTACTGAAGAGGTTGTGGTCATTCTCTGGAAATATCTGAATTCATTCCTGAGCGGTGGCCAGGGCAGGTCCCCATTCTTGCCGATGCCCATGTTCTGGGACACAGCGACGATGCAGTTTAGCAAATGAACCATGACAGCAGCTGGAGCACCTCTGAGCCCGCTCGTTAAAACAGAACGCGCGGTCAAGATTGGCGCGAAATTGTCCATTTTTAGTTATTTTTTGTATATGTTTGATATGGTTGACTGTGTCCCCACCCAAATCTCATCTTGAATTATAGTTCCTGTAATCACCACGTGTCACCGAAGGGACCAGGTGGAGATAACTGAATCATGGGGGCAGGTTTTTCACATGCCGTTCTCATGGTAAGTCTCACGAGATCTGATGGTTTTATAAAGGGCAATTCCCACGCACATGCTCTCTTGCCTGTCGCCATGACTTTGCTCCTCATTCATCTTTAGCCATGATTGTGAGGCCTCCCCAGTTATGTGGAAATGTGAATCAATTAAACTTCTTTCCTTTATAAATTACCCAGTCTTGGGTATGTCTTTATTAGCAGTGTGAGAACAGACTAATACAATGTTGTGAAGTAAGAGCCAAAGTTTTTTTGTTTTTTTTTTTTCTCTATATGGATATCAGTTTTCCTAGGACAATTTGTGGCAGAGATGATCCTTTCCCTGTTTAGTTATCTTGGCCCTTTTGTCAAAAACCAATTGACTATATATATGCAGGTTTGTTCCTTGGCTCTCCATCCTGTCCCACTGATTTATATGTCTCACGGTATCCATGCCCTCTTTCCCCTACAAAGCATTCTCTCTTCTTTAGTGCCCTGTCCCACAGGTTTAAACCTTATCAGCAGCCCTAATCTCTAATCTCTGCCTCCTCAGGTCAGAGGAGTTCTCTCATGCCCTGTTTGGTCTCTACCTAGTGCTGTCATAGCCTAGGAATTGCTCCCAGATAGATAGCCAGGGCAAATGGGGCTCACCCCACGCATTTTCTTTTCCTCAAGGATCACAATCCTGGACTGTCTTGTTCTTTAATGCCTGAAACAGTTGCTTCATATGTTTCATCTAGTTTTATGTTTGTTCATGGCAGGAAGGCTAGTCCAGTGCCAGTTATTGCGTCTTGTCCAGAATTAGAAGCTACAGCTTTGGCTCCTAACCATAAGTTGTAGTGCCTCCTAAAGCTGAATGAAACCTTGCAGGAACTCTGAGCAGCAGCAGCAGCAGCAGCAGCAGCAGTAAGAGCAGCAGCTACAGCTTGTGAGTTCCCGGGCAGAGGCTGAAGCTTGTCACTTTTGTTAGTATGCTCAAGGCTGCAAAAATTGAAGTGGGATAGGGTATGCATTAAAAATTCTCAAGAAGGATTTAATCATTACTTAGAATTCCATGAGGACTGGGAGAGGTTTCTTTTGGTCAGCTTATCTGCTTCTTTATATGAATACAAATGCGTAGGTGTTTACTAAGTATCCGATTTCTTTCCCAAATTCAAGGCTACCAAAAGTTCTAGGTAACCATAAAAAGCGATACAAATCACAGCCCTTGTGATTTTGAGGTAGGGCCCAAATACATGACTCAGGTCTAAACATCCTAGCAAGGACATACATGGAACCAACAATAGTATCTTCTTGGGCTTCAGGTTAACTGACAGAACTCGTTGAACCAGATAATAGGCTGGCTACTCCCGGAAGGCAAGGTTGAGATGAACTGAGGCCTCACGGCTACAAGCTGGTACAGTCATTTCCGGTGAGTATGTATGTAGGTTTAGATAAGACAATGTTGACTATAAAGATGAGCTGAAGCTGCACATTAAACCAGGGGGTAAGTTAAGCCTACAAACCCAAAACAGATTGAACCTAAAAACGGTGAGCGGTTTTTGCAGATCTTGGTGGACAACGGTAAGGTAAGTGGTCACTTTCAGATAATGCCAGCAGCCTAAATCTTTTTTTTTTTTTTTTTTGAGATAGAGTCTCGCCCTGTTGCCCAGGCTGGAGTGCAGTGGCGCGATCTCGGCTCACTGCAAGCTCCACCTCCCGGGTTCACGCCATTCTCCTGCCTCAGCCTCCCAAGTAGCTGGGACTACAGGTGCCTGCCACCACGCCCGGCTAATTTTTTGTATTTTTTTTTTAGTAGCGACAGGGTTTCATCATGTTAGCCAGGATGGTCTTGATCTCCTGACCTTGTGATCCGCCTGCCTCGGCCTCCCAAAGTGCTGGGATTACAGGCGCAAGCCACCATGCCTGGCCCTTTTTTTTTTTTTAATTTATTTTTATTTTAAGCTTCAGAATAAGTTTCCAAAAACAAAGGTACAGGGCAATAAACAAAAGGATTTTTCAACAGACTAGAATAAAACCTCTACCAAGTATGTTAGTTCTTGGGCAGCAAGACCTTCAGGACAGCAACAGATTGGTCCATCAAGAGGGCATGGTGGTTCATGCCTATAATCCCAATACTTTGTGGGGAGCAAGGCAGGAGGATCACTTGAGGCCAGGAGTCCAAGACTAGCCCAGGCAATATAGCAAGACTCCATCTCTACAAAAAAATTTTAAAACTTAGCCAGGCATGGTGGTGCATGCCTGTTGTCTCAGCTGCTTGAGAGGCTGAATCAAGAGGATCGCTCAAGTCCAGGAGTTCAAGGCTGCAGTAAGCTATAATCATTCCACTGCACTCCAGCCTGGGTGACAGAGAAAGACCTTGTCTCAAAAAAGAGAGAGAGACATATCAAAGACCTGCTGAGTCTCTGTTAACAAATGTTTCTTAGACACAAGCAGGGGAAAATTAGCTCCTTTAGGGACAACATAAGTCCACCTAGCCATGCCCCTGAAATAAAGCCCACTTGGTGTTCAAGAACATCAGTCCCTGAAAAGAAATAGAGTGGCTAAAATTATGGGTGCAGTGTCAAACAGAACCCTACTGGAAGCCACCTCTGCCACTTAATAGCCATGTGGTATTGGACAACGTATTTAATCTCTGGAAGCCTCTATTTCCTCATCTGTAAAATAAGGAAAACACTTACTGTGAGAACTAAAGGAGATGGTATATGTAAAATATTTAGCCAAGACCCTGGCCCATTAATAAGCATTCCATAAGGGGTAGCTGCAACTATTTTTACACAGTATTAGAGTCAGATCCCTCCCCACTCAGGACTACTTGCTGTTGGTGTTGATTAGTAAAGCAAAGTCTTTGGGAAACTCTGAATCTCTCTATCCAGAATCCTTATCTCCCTTGGCTCTGAAGCCCAGGTCTCCATGGTATTCTTTAGATTCTGCATTCCCCAAGCAAAGTGTCTGTCCAGTCTTACCCCAGTCTGCTGTGGTGTGAATGTTTCCCCAAAATTTATATGTTGAAATTTAATTGCCAATGTGATACTATTAAGTGAGGCCCTGGCTGGGTATGGTGGCTCACACCTGTAATCCCAGCAGTTTAGGAGGCTGAGGCAGGCGGACCACCTGAGGTCAGGGGTTCAAGACCATTCTGGCCAACATGGTGAAACACCATCTCTACAAAAATACAAAAATTATCTGGGCATAAGGTGGGTGCCTGTAATCCCAGCTACTCAGGAGGCTGAGGCCAGAGAATCACTTGAACCCGGGAGGCGGAGGTTGCAGTGAGCCAAGATGGCACCATTACACTCCAGCCTCAGCGACAAGAGCGAAACTCCATCTCAAAAAAAAAAAAAAAGAAAGAAAAGAAAGAAAGGAAGGAAGGAAGAAAAGAAGCAAGGCCTTTAAGAGGTGACTAAGTCATGAATGGTATCAGTGACCTTATGGAAGGGATAGTAGGAACTGGCATTTGCCCCTTTTGCCCTTCTGCTTTGTACCATGTGAGAACACAGTGATTCTCCTCTCCAGAGGATACAGCAGCAACATGGCATCTTGGAAGCAGAGAGACTGGGTCCTCACCAGACAGTGAATCTGCTGGTGCCTTGATCTTGGACTTCCCAGCCCCTAGAACTACGAGAAATAAATTTCTGTTGTTTATAAACTACTCAGTCTCAGTCGCAGGTATTTTGTTAGAGCAGCACAGACTAAGAATCTTTTTTTTTTCTTTATGAGATGGAGTCTCACTCTGTCGCCCAGGTTGGAGTGCCAAGGTGCGATCTCAACTTACTACAACCTCTGCCTCCCAGGTTCAAGTGATTCTTGTGCCTCAGCCTTCCAAGTAACTGGGATTACAGGCATGCACAACCATGCCTAGCTAATTTTTGTATTTTTAGTAGAGATGGGGGTTCATCATGTTGGCCAGGCTGGTTTCAAACTCCTGACCTCAGGTGATCCGCCTGCCTCAGCATCCCAGAGTGCTGGGATTACAGATATGAGCCACAGCTCCCAGCCAGAATTTTTAATTCAAGTCATTCCCTCACAGATCTATGCCTTCTCAAAACTCTACATGATTCTTTCTAAGCCTCAGTTTTTGTCTTTAAGTGGGAATAATAATGCCTGTTTTTCCTACTTCACAGGATTGCTATGGGGATCAGATATTATAATATAGGTGAAGTGAAACCTCATGGAGAAATGGGAGACTTAAGTCAAAATGATTGATTCAACTCAAAAAGCAACATCTGAAGAGATGCCAGTGCCTCGACCTTGGACTTCCCAGCCTCTAGAGCTATGAGAAATAAATTTCTGTTGTTTGTAAACTACTCAGTCTCAGTCTCAGCTATTTTGTTATAGCAGCACAGACTAAGAATCTTTACCCCTTTTGAATCTGGGGAGATGCTGGTTCTTGAGTTGAGTCAACCATTTTGGAAAATAACAAAAAGGTGTCTTTCAGGAAAGAGCAAGCAAGTGAGCACAATTCAGGCCATCCACCACAGCAATGACAGAGGAAAAGAAAAGGCAACCTAGCTACCAACTACCAAAATGGTCCAAGATCAAGATAGGGTGCATAGCATGTGGTCAACTCTGTATCTAGAACCCAAGCAGTTAACTAGAAGGCTGGGAAATCAGATCATCCAGCTGCTCACTCAGTGTGCTTCAGAAAAGAGGTGCTTTCCACAACAGAAGGGCTGCAAAGAGGGCAGGCAGAATCTCTGGGTGTAGGTGTTCTAACTGCAAACGAAATGCCACCCAGATACCTCAAGCAGCAGTAGCAGCATGATGTACTGAAATAATCTAGGGGCAACTAGGGCACCCATGGAGTGGCTGCTAAGAAGCATGTCAGGATGTGTAGGAACTGGAGGTTTGTAAGACAGCGCCAG